GCTATTTTTTTTAACACACCCCTTTCAACTAATTGCCCAATTGCACAGCCTTAAGAGCGTGCATATCATGAATGCTGGGTCTTGTTTGCTTTCTGAGAATCTACTGCACCTACTGGTAACTCGTTTGCCATGTAGCAATAAAAAATATACAAAAAACCTGGATTATTCTGGTTAGTCACATTGTACTGCTATTATTTTGAACAATACTGTATATTACAATGAGTATCAATAGTATTGTCAATTTCTTGCATTTTCACAGCATTAATTCTATCTGTACATTGTACTTTTGCATATACCTTCTTGAGAATCTGTGAGGGAAACTCAATGCTATTTCCTTTTTCAAAAAGCCTAAGTAAATAATGGGATTGTCCCATAAATTGCTTGAAATGTTTTAATTTGAAAAACTGAAGCAGATCAGATACTCAAAACTGGTCAAATTAGACATATCCTGACTAAGAAAAACCTGATTCATTCATAAGTTTAGGTAAATAAATAAATACATGGGCCCCTTTTTGAGAATTTACAGGTGCATTTGTTTAATAACTATTACATGATTGCTAATTATTACACTTCATTAAAAATGTGTGCAATACACATATACTGTATAAAGAATATACAAAATACATTGTCTACTTTACCTAAAATGTTATAGCACAACAACCTCCACCTATTTAAAGCATATGGCAAGAAGCAGAAAATGATCAGAATGTCTTATTTGTGACATTACTGTAAAATCTCTTGAAGTTAGACTCCAGTCATGGATAAAACTTCCATCCGTTTTTTGTCACCTAATTTCTTCAGCATACTTTCATCTAGAATAACCATTTAGGTATCAAAATGTTCAGCTTTTCAAGGACATGTTTGCTTGTGTTTTTCTTGTTTGTAATGCATACTTTTTAAATAAATTCAGCTTTAAAAAAATCCCATTGAAATGAATGGAAAAGTCTTGAAATCTTGGTCCTTTTGAACCTTGATGGGGCCGGCATACACTGGACTAGAAACGCCATTTGAACTGAATTCAACACAAGATATTCGGCTACTGATGTTGTAAAAAGTGTCTTGATATCTTTTATGGTGTTTGCATACTTGCATTTATATTTTGTATACTTGGTGGCCATAGGAAATTTGAATGGCTCTATTCATTTCCAGTGGCCACACTCAGAATCATGTGACTCCCGCTCTGGCTTCATGTCTGTTTTTGACCACTTTCCTGCCGCTTTTCTACTTTTATTCTGCAATCCTTAAGCTTTCACCGATATATAATACATGAAAATGGTAGAGAAAATTGCCAGGAATGCAAATATACTGTTGTTATTGCAATAAGATGAACGGTATTTGCGTAAAGTCGCACATTTCAGAGAGAGTGTCGCCTCAGTCTTCCATAGACTGCCATTCAAAAGAAGGATTCAGAACACACTCTCAGGTCGGTAATGCAGTCCCCAAAAGTCAAGGTATTTGTAAATCTTTTTCGGGTTTCAAGCGAGAGCAGACGTCTTTACTGCTCCTCTTCTCTGTTCTACATTTCAAGTCTTTGAGCATACTTTACAACTACTAAAATGCCTCAAAGAGGGAAAAGAGCTAATAAATCAGAAGCGACGGAGGATATGGAGGCAGAAGAAATGTATCACAGAGCGGCGCAAGTAAATGACATCGTGGATCAGCAGAAACAGATGTACAATGCGCTGTTGAATCAACAGCAGGAAAGTTTCAAAGGCTTTGTGCAACTAATTATGGAAACAAAGAACAAGAGATTCGACGACATGACCAGAGAAATACAGGAGATAAAAACGAGTTTGCAGTTTACCCAGCGAGAGGTAGATGTGATTAAAGCTGCCATGGGTGAACAGAAAACACAAACCGAGGAAACAAGGGATGACGT